AACGGCGCTTTCGAAACGCCTAAAGAGTGACATGCACCGGCTTTGGCAGGCAAGGCTGCGGTGCAGGCATGTGCAGCCAAAGGTCCCGGGAAGGGCTTTGGAGCCTGGCCAACGGCCCTGCCGGCTGCCGAGAGGGGTTTGAAGGCTGGCAAACGGCGCTTTCGAAGCGCCTAAAGAGTGACATGCACCGGCTTTGGCAGGCAAGGCTGCGGTGCAGGCATGCGGCATGCGGCCAAAGTCGTTGGTGATGGCTTCTCGCTGCGCTGTCCCAGGCGCCGCCCCGCTTAGGCCAAGGCTAAGCAGGGGTCGGCGGATTATGTAGATGTCACTAGGATGTTCGATACTTGTTGTAGCGGTGCAGTGTGTTTTATCTTCGTCGATCTCAAACGAATCTTTCCAATTTATTTCCTGATGCTGACCATGGTCTTATCTCGCAGGAACAAGATCTGCAGGTTGAGTCAATGTGGACATGGAATGACCGGGTAACCCTTGTTTGCGTTCCAAACTTGAAGTGTGATTGGTTGGATTGCTTGAGATCTCGGTGCCCACACTCCTTGTTTGCAGTGACAGGATGGACTACCCCGCGTGCTGAAGGCAGGGTGGATGGAGCGTGTGGACAAATTCTGTTCCAATCTTTGCGTTTCCTGCATTTACTTTTCCATGCTTTATATTTTCCAACAATGATCTACCTTGAGGATCCTTGAGGAACCATTTTCAACTTGACGGGGAAGGTGGGAGGGTACTTGTCCACAGGCTAAGAGGCCCGAAGGCATGAAAGCCTGGGATGGAAGCAGCTCTGACAAGGACGGTACTGGTATCTGTCAGTCTTTCTATGCCACTTTTCTTTCCCATGAGGTGAGGTTGTGCAAACGGCTCTGCTCCAGGACTTCTTGGTCTACAGCAAGACCACTGGAGCTGAAATGAGGATCGTCCTCGCTATGCTCTTTCAGCTGAAGGCAAAACAAGCGCTGACCGATCTTGTGTGGGACTTGTCAGGCGGTGGGGTTTGAGCAAGGACGCTATTAGGGGCTCCTGGCATCGCTACTGGGAGCAAGGACGCGGGCTCGTGGCATCGCTACTAGGAGCAAGACAAGGCTGACAAGATATGTCAGGTCCAGAGCACCCATAACACTAGAACTCGCGGGCACCGAAACATGTGTTGGCCTTGGGCGATCAGCTGAACAACACTATATAGGCAGAACTGCGTCCCAAGATTGGGGGGTGCTTCAAAGCGTTCTTGAAACCCAGCGCCAAATTCCATAGCTCACCACCAGAAGCCACGACAGGCCGTTTGAGGTGAAGAATACTCAGAAGGATACTCCCCTCACTCATGGACCACACCTCTGACCTCGAGGCTGAGGCCATCAGCATCAAGATTGGGCAGGGTGTGTTGGAGCCCAATGGTACGGTGGGTGGCCACTTTCAGGGTGATGAAGTGCACTTCGAGGCGGGGGGGCGTCGTCGTGAGCTGCCATCCAACTGCGTCCCCTATGATCTGTGCATTACTCCGTTGAATTGTAGGACGTTTTCCTGCGCGGTATCAAAATACGTCTCTCCCCGATCCAAATCAGCAGATCTACCTTAGCCTCTTATACCTATCGCAATATCTGCCCACCCACACGACCTTGGAAAGCAATTCAGTTAGCAAGGGCGCAGCCATTAGGATGACGAATCTGCAAGTGTCAACTTGGGACTCGTGAGGCAATTGTGTTGGAAGTGGGAACAGGTGACTGGTGGGAAGCCGATGAAGCTGGTGGTCATGAGCCCACTGGAGCTTGGGGAAAAGCTGACAGATCTGGAGATCAAAGATGATTGGACCGTAGGACCCCATGCGTGGGCGTGGCTGGAGAAAAGCGTCCTGCCTTGGCTGTTGGGCCACTTGAGCAACATATGATATCTAGGAGAAGCAAAGACGTCAGCTGTAGACACCAGACAAAAGTGACAGGGCGCAGACAGTAAGTTGATATGGAGAGTGTGTGTGTGTGTGTGTGTTTGTGAATGCGTTGCAGATTCGCCTGCAGGACAAGTGCGGAAGCTGCTGTGCAGCATCACTGGTTTGAGCCTTGACTTTTCAAGGCCAACGTGATTGTTTGGCACACGTCAAGGAAACCTTCAGCAACTTCAGCATCGCCAGATTGGTCACCATCTTTGCTACCCTGGACACCAAAACCTTTTGGGTGCTTGCTGGCTCCGAATTGCATTTGAAGATTTACGAGAAATGTGCAGGAGGGACATCCTAGCAGAGGTCGCGACGGTTTTAGTTGAGGGCAGAGGTCACTTTCCGTTCTCCGTCTTCTCGGTCATGCCAGGAGCTACTAGTTACTAGTAGCTTCTTGTTACTAGTAGCAATGCCCTTTGTTCCTAGTAGCTTCTTGCTCTTGCCTAGGAAGGAATCCAGTATGCTGATGGCCAAGGGCAAAATGGGCGAAAGGGTCAGTGAAGACGCCCAGCTGAAGCTCACCGACCTTGTCGTCGACTATGGCTACAAGGTGCCAGGGCGAGGTTTGTGTTCAAGGTCAGGGCTAGTGAGGGAATATGAATTGGATAGGATTGGAGAGTGGTCGGCTGCAGTAAAGAGGGGTAAGATATGTTGGCATGTTTTGAGAAAAGCTCAACTGTCATCGACTGGCAATCTTGGGATTTCATCTTGATACCATCTTGCTCATGTGATGTGAAACAAAGCTCAAAGACTGCTCTTCCCATGAACGCCCTTTGAGGACGGTGATGAGATTGGCTTCATCTACATGGGTGATCCCGAGGGCGACTTGAAGGACTTCCTCTCAAAGAAGTGAGAGCCGCAGGGTCCGCAGTGCGGCCGCAGGGCCTCGAAAAAGTGATGGCTCTGCGACGCTCTGCGACGCTCTGCGATGTTGCAGGAGCCTTGACCTGTCCTGAAAACATTCGAGTTTATGGTTGGTGCGCGATCATGGGCCTCCAATCTGCCCTGTTGTCGAGCCCACTCTCTGCTCAGCCTGCACATTGCTTTCGCATTTGTTACCAGCGATCCAGCGTCCAGTCATTTCTTCCAAGAGCAAAAGCTGCAAAAGCCCCAAAGCACTTGTCAATATGATCCGTGGGTCGCTTTCATCAGCTGAGGCAGAGGATGGCAGAGGATCCACAACAAGATCACGTCGCTCATGGCGAGGCGGTGATTCGATTGTGGCTCAAGCTCCTGACCTGTTGGTTTTAGGCTTTTGTGGCCGCTTTTTCATTTTTTTGTTTTTTTTTCAATGGCTGGGAATTTTCATTTGGCTCGAAGGTGCATTTGACTGAAGATACAACGGTTCAGCCCCAAATACTCCAAGACAACAACTCACGAAGTTGCAAGAGCAGCATCAAACGAAGTTACTACCCGCACAGACCTGCACAACCCTGCACAACCCTGCACAAAAGTAGCAAAGCAGAATTCTATCATAGACAACGTCAAATGGACCTCATGGTTGATTGTGGATCAACTTATGAATCTTATGAACGATGACGATGCTGGGTTTGTGATACCAAGATCTGATGGAGTATGTTCCGCTTTGCCCGCGCTTGTGCTGCCTGTGTGATCAATCCTCGAGTTCTAGTCGGTGTACTGCTGCCTAGCTTGGTACTTTGGTCCATATATTCGACCTACACACGTGAGCTGCTCAAGATTCTGGTCATACAAGCCAGCATTGATGTTGACTCAACCAATTCTGCAGGTGGATCAGGTGGCATGACTGGTGGTCTTGAGACCGGCGCTCGAGATGATCCTTACATGAATATCACAGGTGCCAACATGGCTTCTATTTCTACCAGTCTCACTCCCTCTGACGACAATTTCGAGAGGTTTTTTTTCCAAGAGTCGTTCCACGAGCACACCCTTTGCTTTGGGTAATCTCACCCCGTCAACGGAGGGTATCCCATCCACAGGTGACTCCACCGGTGACTCCACCGGTGACTCCTTTGAGTCGCCAACATCCAAGCTGCGAGTGGCCGTGTTTATGACGACTCATTGGAACAAGCAACATCGGAAGTATCTCGCTTGCTGGGAGCTTGCTACAAAGAAGCTTCAGCTCTTGAAGGAGGCAGATTTGGTGCTATACACTTCCACAGCGTTGACCAAAGAAGAACTCAAACAATTTCACTTTCGCACCATTACAGTGCGGATGTATGACAACCCTGGCTACCAGATTGGAGCTGTCCAAGCATTTAAAGATGGCTTTGGGTCGAAAGGTGTAGCAGAAAAGTGGTTCGCTGAATATGACTGGGTGGTTCGAGTGAACCCAGACGTTCTAATATTTGATGACCAATGGCTGCTTGAAACTATGCAGAACTCCTCGATTGACGGGATGTTTCAGAACTGCGGCAACTGCAGAGTGCACAGTGACTTTTTCGTACTTCGTCCGAGTGCAGTGAATCATACCCTGGTTGACACCGCGAAGGATATAAATGCGGAGCAACATTTGACCTTCAGCCTGGTCAACATTTTGAAGGTGTCCCAGCGGTGGGTTTGGATAGAGGGTGGACAGCCGGCGAAACCTCAGGGTTGCCGAATCACTGGAAGCCGTTCACCAGCTGTACACAATCACTCCCTGGCAAACTACTGCCCAGATTATTTTCGCGTGCGTGATGAGCAGCTTCCAAGAGGGAAAGGGCACTTGCCATGGGGGAAAGCTGAATGCGGGAATCAATGAAGAACATCCTCGATTCGTTTTGCCAAGACACGGCTTCAGATCAATCAGGGACCAACAGTTAGTAACAAATGTCAGGCACAGACTCGCCACATCTCTTTGAGAGAAGCCGCGGTCTTCCATTCTTTGAGAGGCGCTAGAGCCCTGACGCCTCCGTGCTGGACACTGGTTTGCTTGCTCGTAGCTGGATCGAAGACTCACCCTGGAATAGACCACATTGCGACCTGAAAGTGAGGGCTGGACGGTTGAACAGAACAGATCATAAAGTATGGCTGAAACCAGGGTCTTGGGATGCAGCAAGGTCGTTAGCATAAGCCAGACAAATGCTCTATTTAATGCAGCAGAACCTGAAAGAAGCAATAGCACAATCCGTTCAAGCACAGAGGTCAGCGTGATCTACGGGTGACCCTTATGGGCCTGGACAATCTGGACCACCAGACACCAAAGTGGATGCTGGGGTTAGATACCACATTGTTTTCCCAGGTACAACATGATAGCCAGTAGCGCTGTTTTCTGAGAAACTGACAGCGCCACTACTTGGATACCAGACGTAAGCCAGACGTACAACGTTCAGGTTGCCCCCTACTGAACTTCTAGGGTGTGCTATTCACCACAGGTGCATGTTGTTTGGGACTCGCAACTGGTCTTCACGACGACATGCACTACTTGTGCCAATCCGTGTAGTGTTCTTTGAGGTGTACACTCTCCGAACAAAAGCGGAACAAATGTGTGTTTGGTGTGTCTTTGGGCCTTGTACGGCTATAAAATGATATGTATAAAGACTTAAAAAAGTACATATATATATATATACACATAGTGTGTTTATATGGCCAGGTAGTTTAAATCATGGATTTGCTCGTCCGACGCAGGCTTCGGACGATGGATGTCAGCGGCAGAGGGGACGGAGGGCGCACCGAAGACGCCCGAACAGTGGGCTGCGGCCCAAGAGTGGCTCTTTGGACGTTGGACGCTCTTGGCGACACAATTGCGCCGCGGCCGTGGCGAGAGAACGGCCTTGGAGAAACACAGGAGTTTTGAACTGGCGCATTCCATGGGAAACATTAGCCCGTCGAATTCATGGGCAGCACAGTTGTTGCATCTCAGTGAGAACAGCAGACTTCCATGCCACAGGTTTAGGCTTTGAACATGAAGAAAACAGAGCTTCTATTGACTTGCTAGCCAGTCACCCTACTAGCACAAGCAGATCTGAGGCTGGTTAGACGATCCCACAGCCGCAGTTTTGTTTTCTTTCTACGTCTTTCAGTTCTTACTGCAGATGCTGTGATTTTAATGAGTTTCTACGGCCATTGCGGGTAGACACTCCAAGAGCCCTTCGGCCATGCCGCAAGAAATTCTGTTGCGCCCTCATGAGGAGGCCTACATCAAGGACAATGAAAGAAGTTTGTGCACCAAAAAGATTCTGGAACTTGAGTCCTGGGTAAGACACAATGGGAGATCTGTTGAAGAGCGAGAGGCAGAGGGCAAGCATGCCAAAGAACCCGAACTAGCAGCCCTCCCCGGCATCCTGTTTGCCAGCATTTATGCAATGTTTGTTGGAATTACCACAGGGATTTGTGGCGGTTCACAGGACTCCTTTAAAGCCGAGTCATTGCAAGGAGCATAAGGATGAGCTGAAGAGATTTAATGGAGCCTCGGCTGAGATTGGGCAGATCTGGAAAAACTCGCAGGGTTGGGAAACCGCATGCACACATTCGCTAGGTGCTTCAATCGAATTCGTTCGAGATCCCTTTGATTAGAGCCACGTGATTGGGAAAAAAAAACACATCACGAAAGGGAAACAGAACCTGTTCAGATTTCACGCCCTGGTCTCCAGCAAGGGACTTTGGAGGTGGAATCATTGCTTTCTTCAAGTTTATCGAACGTGTCATAAGCTATTGGACTTCAAACCCTTGTGAATTTTGGTGAATTTGCATTTTCTTGTGCTCAATGGGTGAGGTTTGCCAACTTATTCCTGCTCCACCCACTTTTCCAATTAGTCCCTACAGCGTTTGATTGGTCTTGGACATGATGGAGCATTTTTCCTGTTTGCCCAAAGGTGCATGTCACATGGCAACTCCCAGGAATGGATTTAGTCTTCGAAGCTCGCATGCGCTTTCTGGAGATGCCGCTTGCAGCACTGTTGTTGGACACAAACTCACCTGAGAAGATTTCTCCGCTCAAACATTATGGGACCAAACATTTCTCGAGTTCATTTTCGCTGTACCCGACTGGATTTTAGTGTTTTACTTTTATCGACAAGTCGAATGAAGGAGACCCTCCCAGGTTATTGTGCAACATGTTTGACCCTGCAGATGTGGAGTTAGACACTCTACATCTGAATCCAAGATTGGTCCTTATCATCATCGGACATGCTCCTTCAAATAGCCGTGCATTTTTCATGGAAGAAGTACACAGATGTGAAAGGATGTGGTGAAACCTAGACGTCAAAGACATCGCATCTATTTTGATCCTTGAGCATCAGGTCGCGATGCAGTTTCTTGCAACTTGTGCCCGAGGCCACCAGAGCAACGAGAGAAATTGGCCCCCCAAGTGGTTAGACGAGGACCAACCGCCACTCGGTTGCGTGTTGCTTTTTGGACATGGCTCAATAGACAGCATGTGTGTTCAGCAAATATATGGAGTTGCCGATGCATTTCAATTCAAGTATCTTTCTATCAGTTAGACAGGAACACAATGTAGTTGTTTCATGTTACTTCAAGGATCGTTTTTGATTCTATTGTATGCCAACCAAGTATATGTGTTGATAATTGGTTATAGATCGCTTAGGTAAACCATTAAAAGACATTTATTGTCTAGGTTGGGGCTTGGCACATCGTAGACAGGTTTGCGGGTTTGTTGAAGTCAGTTCCAGGCTCCAGGTCCAGACATATCCAGAAATCATGTCAAGAGATACTGGATTGATTGCGGAAAGCTGGGCATACTTGTTGATGGTGAGGCTGTAAATGCAAACCTTCTCATGATAGGCCTGGCCTCAAGTATAGTTCACACACACAAGAAGCCAGGTTCCTACCTCTTCCCAACTTGGGATTGATACGAATCACGCTGGCAGCAGGGAAAAGCTAAGTTCTCCCCGATGTTATGCACTGAAACAACGGCAAGTAATGAAGCCTAGAAGGAAAAAGATGTGTACACAGCACAAGCAGCGCACGCAACGCATGCAATATGGCCAGAACTGAGGATTCATAGATCAGCCTGGTGTCTCTAACGTGTATCGGGACGTGCCTGGTGTCTCTAATCCTTCCGGTTGTAACGCCTGGCCCAGCCATCGTCCCAGGCTTTGGGAACAAGGTTCCATCCCGCTGACAGCTCTGACGCTCGTCCGCGGCCGTGGTGGGAGACTGTTGACAGGGCGAGTCTTTGGGATTTTGAAAGTTTGAGTCCGTGGCATGTTATTTCAGCCACCGAAAGCTTCCAGGATCCGGTTTTTGAGAACTACCCATTTTCAGTACTTGGCAGAGGTGCCGGGTTGATTGCTCTTTCCAAAACGGACATCATGCCACTGAATCTGAGAGGGTCAATTCTGATTTTCGTTCCAACATAAATCTGGTGTCAATGCCAGCAATTCTGTCAACATAGTGCCGTCATCATTTGTTGATCTCACTTGGCTTGGAACGAGACTCGATCACTTTTCAGTTTTGGGACACAAGGACGCATTGATACGTGTTTAATACACTTTGCTTGAGCCGCAATGACAGCGGCCCGATTTCTCTCGTGGGCATTCCAGAAGATTCCGACATTGAAAAGACTTGACTCGTGGGGTGCTCCATGCCGGTTTGCATGTTTCGGTTGCGTCAAAGCCATCCCAGATATGAGTCCGCCTGTGCACTCCTCTTCAAGCTTTGAGGATCGATGAACAGGCAGAGGTTCCAGTGTTACAGCCCATCATGGACTACTCCAAGCCGTCACTTGCCGCTGAGAGATGCTAGGAGTGACAGTGTCGTAGAGCTTATATAAGAGATTTGCACTCAAGTGTTTTCCTTCAGCACACTGCCAACTGATTCCACAGCGAGAAACACATACTGAATATAGTGATACTGGTTTTACAGGGTATAGACTACCAGCATTGTTTGCCTCCCTCGAAGGTACTTGGCTTTCAGGCTTGAAACTATTCGCCCGACCAGTTTGTTGACCTTGAATGGAGTTTTGCCTGTTCTAAACAAGTCAGTCTCGTACGGCTGAGGGCTGTGCTGGAAGCGGCTGCACAGATTCTTGGACAAAGATAAAGAACATCTGGGGTTGTCCAACCAAATCGGAAGACCCCTAACCAAGGCGTTTTGGCCCATGCCCGCCCATCTACTGTCAGACACACGAAGATTGAAGATTCATATTATCACGGGGTGGCTTTTAGAACAGACATGCTTTGACACATGAGATTCCTCAAAGGAATTAGGAGGTATCAGACACTGACCTATAAAAGCACTATATTATGCCACTATGCAAGTAAAAGGTATGCAGTGCATGCAACCCTATTCGCCTGTGACTTCTTCACCTTTGTTATAAACATGACATTAGGCACCCTTCGGATCCGAGGCCTGCAGACGAGCCGGCACCGGAGCCCGTCTCCAGTGCTCCCACCAAGGAGGTCGAAGAAGTGGCGCCGGAGCCTCAGCCGTCGCTTCCCCGTCGACCGGAGGGAGAGATAGCTGCATCAAGTCCAACTTGAAGTGGCCCTTTGTAAGTGGGAGGTGGTTGGTTTATCACCCACCACTGTGGCACAGAGCCTTCTATTAGCACTAGATGGTGTGCGACAGACCTAGGACCCGTCATCGTAGAGATAACATTCACCCTTCCCAACTGAAGTACAAATCACAATCCTATGAAAGTAAAAGCAGGGCCAGCTTATATGATTGGCAATGGCCGGCCGGGCACTTCAGATTCTGGGCAGAGGGAGGACCCAGTTGTGAAAGACCTCCAAGGACTGGTCAAGTATCATGAAAAAGTACTGTACCTAGTCTTTTTTTTGATGTGACAACCCTTTGTAACATGTGTTGAACAGTAGCGGTTGGGCATTGTTGGGCTATCTAACATAAACACTCCCCAGATATCCCCAGATAACTGGAAGCCTTTGGGGGGGTGTGTTTGTAAGAGTCCAAGCAACCGCACAAGTGTGGCTAATAGTTCCTCATCCAAAATAATTGTAATTGTAATCTAGGGCCATTTGGGGTAGATTTGGCGCAACTTTCAGCAGGAGCAATCAGTAGGTCCCCGCGGGTGATCCACGGCAGCTTGTTCCATGCAGTGTTCGCAGAAGATTGACCGATTTCTTCTGAACCACATTGAAATACGTGTTTGACTGGCGGGGACTAGGAACCGTTTACACAAAGACTAGGAATATCAAAACTAGGAAGTATTGAATATATTTTGGCACTCACAAACAAGCTGCGTCCTTGCTTCGACTTGAACCCTAGCCCCCAAGGCCTGCTCGCCAAGAGCCAGAGTTCGTGGTCAACGCCGCCGGGACTGGGAGCGGGCCGAGAACAAGGAATCCAACCAAAAAGAACACCTGGTACACTGGGGATTGAGTTGGTCATTGGTACATCTTGGTTGTATTCCAGGCATGTACACAGTACATCATAGTACATCATAGGACGTACGCATAGTAGGTTTATAGAGCTCCTGGTGCAGAGCAATTTTCAAGAGTTCCAGGAAGCTATAAATCTCAGTTGCCCTGACCGGTGGGTGCGAATGAAGGGTCAACACCCAGCATTTTTCGTTGTTTCAGTTTCAAAATGGATCTCCGAACTGGGATGCTGACGGTGAGATGATGGGTCCAACGTGAACCTCATGTAGATAGCTTCTGGGGGTCTCCCTCGGTTAACTTGGAGAGGAATCCTGAACATCAGTTGACTGCAAAAGGTTCTTCTGACCCACAGCGTTGCTGTTCTACAAGCGTACCTCGCTGTTTGTGGAGAATGGTGCTTTCTGCGTCCACCTGGAAATGGATTACTACCAGTCACTCCTTTGAAGAGGGATTAGACCATGTCCAGATCAAGCCCGAGGTGCTGGTGGATCCTGATGAGCAGCCTGATGCTTCTGGGATCGACAGAGGGCAAGGGTGGATCAGTTTGATGGGTGGACAGAGTCTTGTCACCTTGTCTGAAAACTCAATGATATCAATGCAAAGCGAACCGGGGCGACTGCGGAGACCAAATGAAACAGAAGGACACCTCTTGAAAGCCGTGGGTGTTTTCAGGTCCCGAACTGGACATCAGCGAACACACACCCTCACCAGCTGCGGTGATGCAGAGGAGCTACAGCAGCTACAGGGATGTAGGGTTTATTCATGTTTATTCAAAGACCTCTTTTGTATACCAGTATTTGTTGAATGTATTTGATTTGACCCTTCTTCTGGGTTCGCCCTTGGATACTTTCCATAAGCTTTCGTGTGATTTGCGTGAGCTTGGGTGGAGGGGCAGCGACGCAGCAAGTGGGCCAATCGACCCTGGAGATAGGAGGCAGGTCAATCTGACACTCCATAACTTCAGACAGCGCTAGTGGGTTGGAGGCCATCGCTATTATATAGTAACTCAAAGAAGATGGTGTTCAGACACTTGAGGTGCGCAACATCCTGGAGCGACAGCTTTTGGAGTGATGCGCTTTAGAGGAGGCATGTGTGCGTACAGAGAGTATTGGTGGCATTGACTCAATTTAATCACAAATCTTGCAGATGAAGCCGGTAGCAAGGCCCTCGCGACTTTGTTGAGAGCTAAACAAGCCGATAGACAGACATGAACCGTGACCGGCGGCCAATTGCCAGAGCAAAGAGCATTTCGGGGGCTATGTGGACCTCACAGACAGCTCTGATGGTCACCTGGACCTGGAAGGTATATCCTCCAGCAATGCTCAGCCAGGGAAGCGGCGATGAGTTGATTACTGTAAATATGCGAGACAGCTGCAGCGAATTCAGCATGAGTGAAGTGCCATATCTTTGTGAAGTACAAAGGGCATCGCTACTAGGAGCAAGAAAGGGAGCGGATCCAAATGGGTCCACCCTCTCCGTGCACGGCCATCCGACCGATCCCTTTGGTGCACGGCTAGAAGAGACGCATGATGCCGCCAAAGGCTGGCTGTGCAAAAGGGGCTTTACTTTTCGACACCTGCCATTGGTCGGAGCAGATGGGAGGACTGGGACGAATGGATACAGAAAGGGGTACCGTGATATTGTGCCCCTGCTCACATTGAGACTAGAACTGATTTGGGTGATTTGGGGTGAAACCGATATTTTTTTCGTTCTCTAGCTGTTGGCTCAAGCTCGTTGTCTCAGACTAACTTAACAAGGTCAGAATGCTCTGCAATTGGCTCGACAATTTACAAAATATGTATGGTGGGTGCTGCTTGAAGTTCCGAACAGCAACTGACAAGCAGCCCATGCAAAGAAGATCGACTGTATATACCCAGAAGTATTTCCCAGCATTCTATGGCCATAGAGTCGTAATGACTCATAGACATACAGTTTTTGGTCAATCTTTTTGTCCATGTTTGAAGCCGGTTGACTTTGGATGCAGATGCCGTGACAGACTGAAGACCATGAAGTTGGACGGGTGGTTTGCAGCACCACAGCTGCGAGAGGCAGAAGATTCCTGCTCAACGGGACTCAACGGGATGTCAATGTGGGCCGAAAACTAGTAGCAAGGTGCCTTACTGGTAGGCACAAGCTGCTAGTATAGTAATGCCCTTGTTACTAGTTGCGATGCACCTTGCTCAAACTGGACATGTTCACAAATCAAATATGCAATCATATTGTCAAGGACGTCCGACCAACATATAGACATATAGCCTAGCTTGAGGTCGTGCTGCTATTAGACTATTTTGATAGATATATACCTGTTTGCTTGTCATCCGATGGTGTATGTTCAATACATAATACTGTATATGTATATTCAATATATACAGTATATATATATAATATATATATATATATGTATATATACACATCCGACCAATCTCAGCACGGCCCATCTGCAATGCGCCCATGGCAAGCTGATTCCGTCGAACTTTCCACAACTTATGACCAGCTGTTGCTTTGGATAGAGTGCAATTAGAGTTGGCTCCCAGGCAGCGGGCGCTCCTGACAACTTTACAAATGCCTCGGAGTTTTGTTGGTTCACGTGTGGAGAAGCCCTACTAGCTGCACCAAATGGTTTGGCCCAGCTTCTCCATCTCATGTTGCAGGTTTGTGCCCTGAGCCTGCTGCTGGCGGCCTCCTGTGTTTGTTGGTTCAAGTCCCGCAGGCAACGCCTCACTGATGAGGAGCTCTGGCAGGCTCAGCAGGAGGCGAACCGCCAGAGCAAGCTGAGAGATGAAGAACGGAAAGGTTACCCGGCAGGACGCAGGACGCCTCCCCGGATGTTTGAAAGAGAAACAGAACTCGAGTATGCTTGCAATTGTAACTTTCTTGTGAGCAGCTCCAACGGGTTCGATGCTTAATCATGAAAGCTCAGTTTTGATAATTGAACCTGATTTGTTATGATTTGTTCAAGTGAGATCAGAACCTTCACAAGAATTGATAATTTTCCCTTTTCCGGACAGAGTTGAGACTGTTCAAGTCATTGACTCCGGACTCCTGACTGAAATCCAGCTTTATGTCCTCAACCAACTCGATGCAACTACCAGGACCACGAACAAGCGACTGTGTGTCGTTGGGCATAGCATCATCCAGCATCCATATATATATATATAGACTAATATTACTATATTATATATAAATGAATGACGCTACTACAGGCTCCTGGCCTTACTACTAGGAACAAGAAGCTACTAGGGGCTCCTGGCCGTACTACTAGGAACAAGGACGCTACTAGGGGCTCCTGGCCGTACTACTAGGAACAAGGATGCTACTGGGGCTCCTGGCCGTACTACTAGGAGCAAGGACACTACTAGGGGCTCCTGGCATCGCTACTAGGAGCATTCTTGCTATTCATTGAACACCTGCCGGTTCGACCGCAGCCTTCCTGCCTTTGCGCCGAGGTCGCATCCGCGCGGAACAGGAGCTGCGGCAGCGCGGCGGCGCTGCGAGTGCCCCGGAGGGCTTGACTGAAGGCGCGGAGCCGACAGAGGCCTTCACGCCACTGGGCTGGAAAAAACGAGCCAGATGGGCCGGAAAACCCTGCAACATCAGCCAACACATCCTGCAAATGAGTATTTCGGTGAAGTATGGGGTGTTGGTTTGCTACCAAACAACCGACCAATTGGACACTGACATGATTTTACTATTTCTTTTCTTTTTGGATCCCCACAAAATCCAAGATCTCATTTTGCAACACCTTGGCCCAATGAGAGTCTCTGGAGGATGAGCCTGAAGGCAGCAAACTGACTGCAAGATTGAGCGGCTCAAAATGACATCTGCACGTTTTTGACGGCCGGAAAGTTATTGTTTTGATGCTTGATCTTCAGAAGCATCGGGCACCAGGGCACAGGCAACCCACCAACGCTTGCAGAGAACATGCAAACTGGGCATTCCCGAGGTTCCATCCAATTGGCACCTTCCAGTCCTGCTATCAGCAGCGCTGTGGAACACCACGTCAAAGTAACCTGGTGATGCTGGGTGGCAGTGAGGGGGGCACCAGATTCTGTGAAAGCACGTGATTCATATGCAGACAAGATTACCAGACGATTTATCTTTATTCTGAAAAGACATGGCATGAGATTGCATTGCCATACATTTCTGGAGGGGGTTATTTATGCCAGACTCGATAAACCCACGCTGAATGTCAAGTTCCTAAAGTTCCTAAAGCATAACCACCATATCGGCCCCCTGGGACTGCGGATGTGGTTGAACCCAGGAAGAGCAGCTTAGCCACGCTCCGATGTGTACGGGATTTGAATCCAGAGGCTGCCCTGGAAGGATTAGTGGACTTCAGCCACGTGTCTTGGCCATGGGTCGTGCAGGTGTCTAAAGTGGGACAAAGTGACAACAAAATCAGTGGGCCTCCAATGAGCCTTCCGTGAGCCTTATGTCAATTTGGGAGGTGTAAACAGCACACAGGTTCAGGGGCAATGTCAAAGGATTGATCCTCTGGCCGGTTGGGTTCAACGTGACCTCTCCTAAGGTCCTAAAGCTGGAGAAGGCACAAACGGATACAAACGGTTGAAACAGTTTTCAACCGAAGCACGTGCTTTTTAGCATCTAGCTCTAGCTCTTTGGCCTTTCTGCACCACACCAAGACACAACGCAACTTGTGATTTGCATCTGATTCTGTATTGAGTGCTCCTTGGGCACCGAATGAGGTTTGGGTACTCTACATCTTCCACGAGAATACCAACACTCTGCGAGGGCCAAAGACTCTCAGCTTGGCTTTTGCTCTTTTTGCACGCACCCCAAGCAAGCTTTCAGAGGTGTGTGCTTCATGCAGCAAGTTGTACGGTTGGTTCTGGACAGAGCCATGAGCCGTGCTGACAGTTGTCCCTAGTATATCCTTACTGTATATAGTGACCATTCTATTTTTGGACACCCTTGAAATTGTACATTTCTTGAAGGGGTCTATCATATATCCCACAATGCCTGCAACGGCGGATGGATTTCTCTACTCTGTTTCTCAACCTCTTTAAAAGTCTAATGGGGACAGGTATTCTCGACTTCTTTTCGACCCTAAACGAATTTCTAGCTGTTTCTGGGTTTCCAACTCGACCCCCTTGAAGCTGTGCATTTTCAATAAATCGAATTTGTATCCCACGATGCGTGCAATGGCGATTTTTCTATAGGTGGGACTTCTTTCCTCACAATGACGAGTGCCATGCAGTGGATGAATCTCTGAAACATTACACTATTGAAATTGCATGCTTTGCGTCACCAGGTCCATGAAAGGCAAGCAAACAATTCTTTTCAACAATTCGATTCATTCCTCCACCACCTCCACATGAAATGTTGCAACACCTACCAATTTTGCTCTTGATGGAGGATGTGCATTTCCAATCATTTCTGTTCCCAAACGAAAAAGCTCCCCCCCCAGAGCTAGCGCTCTAGGAACTCAATGCTCGCACCTCAACGCAACCACGCCCCTCAGCACGTTCGGTGCGGGCAGAATTGGCATCAAACGTTTGCGAAGGGATGTTTCTTGCGTCGGGCCGAGCTGCTGGGCTTCTTTAGCCGCCAACTTGTGCAATCACAAAGATCGGCAACATGTTCACAAAACAACCCACAATGATAAGGCATCGTTTTGGCAAAGCCGACCTGTGAATGTACCTAAACAATATGTTAGATGTTCGAAACCCAACGCTTAATAAAAAACAAGAGCTGTGCCCCGTGCTTGCCACGCGAAATGCGCTTGACTGCATAGCACAACCCTTCGACACGCAGCGAAGACCTAGTTTTATAGCATTCTGGCATTCCGTCTGATCATCCTAAGGAGTGTGTCACGACGTCGTCAACAACAGGGCCGTGTGCCCTTGTGGCAGGGACTTTGCATGAAAGTGGCTCCGCCACGATGTCCAGAGCTGCGTGTAGGGGTTTTGGCATGTCGGATGCTTGGTTCAAGCCGAGGTCTTGGTTTTCTGGCATTGCCGTGACGATTTTTGGTGAAGATCCGGAACGATATATTATATATATTGCAATATTCTTTTTTACATTGCATACTTATACTGTATCTTTTATTCCTGTCAGACACCAGACATTTGGGAAGTACCTTCTGTTTGTTCCACTTTGCTGTCCCACAACCAGAATCAGAGTGCTGTGCAGGAAACGAACATACACTTTTTTTGGAGTCAACCATGGCTTTGTATCTCAAGTGCAAACGACAGCTCTGACGGTCACGTCAGTGTTTACACTTGCCTAATCCAATCCTTGGAGCCTTGCCATTAGGTTGAAGACCATTGCTCTTAGGTTGGAGGTCATTGCTGTTGGTATATCCAATCCTTGAAGCCTTGCAGTGTTGTTTTGCGCGGCCTCAAGGACGCCTCATCGGCCGAATCCCATTGGCCTCTCCTTGGCGAAAGTCGTCGAGGTGAAACCATCGGACGCCCGGCCTTTCGTGTTGCTGGAGTCGCACATGCGGGGCCTGTGGAGCTAGAGGCGAATCTCCTCCCACCAAACCTACCTCTCAGTATTCTTGTAAAGGGAGTCTAGTGTACAGGCTATGTAGTCAATCTTCACAAACCAACCCACACCTCCAGCCCACCGACCAACAGATTTCCACAGACACCTCCAGGTCTCTTCGCAAAACCTTAGCATTCCACTTGGCTCAAGTGGAAAAAGACAAGGCGTGAGCAAGTTGCTCTACAACTTTCTCCAACGTTCGGGAGGCCAACATCTCCCAATACCAGACTACTCTGTTCAGATTGACAGGTGCATGGAGGGGACAGCGCACAGTCACATGAGTGTTTTGACACATGCAGGTTCCTCGTCACTCGCATGTTGTAGCATTTCTGATCTTTATGTCAGGGGTTCATCAGCTTTGTCTGTTCCGCAAGCGATTGTTGTGGTGTTTTTTGGTTTGTGAACGCGCAACCAGTGGAACGTTTTCTTTTGATCGAGATTGACTCCACAACTTGGCGTGAAACTCCGCCAACGAACCATCCAGTGTGCGCCAGTTTCGACAGAACCTGAAGAGAGTTTGGGGAGGTGAAAGCATGCCTCGTTGTGACCTAGGAGGGCATTTTGGTCTTGGCTGGTTTGGACGTTATCGATGGAACCCCTTGCCTAGCAACTTGGTGCCAAATCATCATATTTTTGTTCTCAGAACAGACCTTTGACCAAAGGATGACCTGATATGATATGATATGATATGCTGATACGCATTATACAATATACTCACTGATCAACCAAACGCAGTCTCGTTTTTGTTTCGTCGATTTCATAGAACCATTTAACCTGTTTCTTCTTTGTTGGGAGTTTCGGCGTTTCGCTCAGGATTTGAAACCATATCTACCCAGCTTCGAGGCGATTGATGCCTCAGTGCCTCAGTGGGTTCAAACCTCCTATGAGGAACCCATGATGGAGGCCGAGACGGAGCGTCTGCGAAACTTCATGAAACTTGTGAGCATTTGCAAGGAGTGGAGTGGCAGAGTGTTTGAGAGCTGAGATAACATATTTCAAAGAGTCCAACCGAAGTATGGCTCAAAATCATTCAAAATCAGTCTCGGTGATAAAGGAACACCAGCCTGAGATTTGAATCTCAGGCTTTGTCCTTCGAAGACTGGAATACTCGCAGTTTTCAAGACTCTTTATGGTCACCCGATGAGGCAATTACTGTAGAATCTATAGAATCTGCGAGCATTTGCTCCCAGGAAAAGCCCGCGGCTTTGTTGCATGTCATCGACTTGGTTTCAGACCAAATTTTTCATGCGATATGAAGGGGATTTTTCTAGGGTGAGGGTTGACACGTGTTGACATGAGATGGATTCGGGGGACACGGGGCCCAGACTGCTTTGGCCGAAGTTCTGAAGTTCTGAACCCCGAACCGGCCCGAACTGCCAGGTCACCTGGTCTCCTGAAGCCTCACAGCAGCTTTCGGAGCTGCAAAGCACGGAGCAGCTGCGACTGGAGCCCTTCCACTCGGCTGAGCAGCTAAAACAGGTGCCACAGGGCATTTGGTCGGCGTGGAGGTCAGGGGTTCGCAGGGGTTCACGGCGTTTCATGCGGGTTCTCATACGTGACGGGGTGGGCCAAAAGAGACAAATCAATGGGCAGGATAGGATAAGAGAGGGGAAGATTTGTCGCTGTCTCTCCGATCTCCGCGTGTCTCCTTACTATTCAGAATATCAATGACTATCAGTCCATTTTAGTCTGTGATGGTTCATGCAGCTCTTTGCCTCCCAGCCAGGTTGGTTGAAGTCTCCATGGGAAAGTCTGAAAGATTCATCCAATCTGCCTTCCAGATCCCTCTTCCAGATCCCTTGCTTTCACAGACAACATTGTGGGATCATGTGGGATCCATGGCCCAAGAAAACTCACCTTGTGGGTCAAACCCCACTGGGGCAGCTCTTCGCCGTGCAGGCAATTGAAGAGACCCTGGCGTTGGATATCCGATCGCCGTTGCAAAAGCAGCGCAATCCACATCCAGGGCGACAGGGGCCCAGTGAGCTTCTCGAGCGACCCTTCTTCACCGGGGACTTGTGGTTCCAAGAGCTTCACATCAAGCAACCCAGCTGCTAAGTCGTGGGGGATCTGGGGATTTAGGTCCTTTCCACTTTACCCTATCTACACAAGATTGAGTAGGTTCTAAGCTAGGGGTCTCAACGCCCCGCTGCTAATGGCACGGCCAAAGGATGTGATCAGTGTTCCTACCAGCAACTCCAAGAACATTTGGATGTGAGGTTTAATTGGGAGATCCGAAGGTCGAATGGGTTTTGGTCTATTTTCCTTCTTCCAGGAGGTCTTTGGGAGGTCTCCCATTTTTAATACACACGCACGCTCATTTTCTCATAATTTCCAACACAGCAAACATAGTGGAAGAACTCAGAACAGCAACCAGGATCAACCAGGTTACCAGGACCACGCCCGAGGGCACCACCTCAACAACGGACTTGTGGGCGTACCAGAGTTGGACGCATTGCCTGATGGCATCGGAATCAAGATGGCCTTGAGGTGGTACAGCTCGAAGCAAAGACATTTCATTTTTGTCACAGCCATGAGAGGACGAGAGATTACAAATGGGTGACCCAAAGAAGAACGAAAGCTGAGCTCACACCCAAGCCGGTACTTGATCTAGGATTCCTAGGATCTAGAGTTTGACATGATCAAATGGGGTAAAGGACGAATATATATATACAAAAGGATACAAAGGAAGAACAAACGCATCGTCGACAACCAAAACGACAACAGACAACAGACAACAGACGACAGACGACGACAACAACAACAACAACCACTACGACCACAACCACAACCACAACCACAACGACAACGACAACGACGAGGTACAAACAACCCCGTTACAACATATCTTCTTCCTTTGTCTCTACAAGGGGGGTGGAAACAAGAACTGCAGCCCCGTCGTTGCTTTTGACCACCCCAAAACAACCAGCCAACAAGTACTTTGTAGTGGTAGTGGTAGTGTTTGTACTAGTGCTAGCTAGTACTAGTACCACTAGTGTAGTGGCAGTAGTAGTAGTAATAGTAGTAGTAGTAGTAGTAGCAGTAGCAGGAGTAGTAGTAGTAGTGGTGGTGGTGGTGGTGGGGTGGTGGTGTGGTAGAGTGGTAGAGTGGTAGAGTGGTAGTGGTAGTAACTGGTCAAATATACCCTATGTAAAACTTCTACTTAGAACCTCTACCACATCCTAGAAGAAAAAGCTGTAGCCGCCGTTGTTGTATTTTGGACTCCCGCTCAAAAGGTGCTGTCTCTACCCTCTGTTAGAAACAAAGACTGCAGCCCCGTTGTTGTTTTTTGGACCTCCCCCCCCTCCAGAACAAGACCTCAAAAACACTCAAAACGGGCCAGCCCAGACTTCAGTGAAAAAAATCCGAACAAGCCCAGCTACTTACGAAACCTTCAACCGTATCCCTAACCTTGCCCCCCTTGAAGTTCCAGAGTTACAACATACAACATGTGACAAACATATTGGGTGGCTGTTTTTGTTTCTACTAAAAACAATAACAATGACAACGACGGCAACCACAACCAGAAAAAGGACGTATACGAGTTAAGAGGTTAAGAGATGATAATAAGAGCAAAAGCAAGGACAATGCCAACCAGGACACCGGCCATACCATCTTGAAATGTTCGAATCTATTTCGGACCCCGTTCTTCATACTATTGATGACACTGCCACTCAGTGCTACCCGCAGACTGGATGTTGCACTGGACTCACTGGACGAGGACCTGTCCTGGTCTCAGGTACTCCCTGCTGCCCGGAAGAGCCCACCAGAGCTTTGGCAGATTCATCGTTTGTCTTAGGTAGGCTACAAGAGGTGACGTGACCGAGCTCATTCATTCACTGACCCGCACAGACCAACAGCATGCTTTGGGACATTCTATCATATATATATATGCTTAGGTATTATATATATATTGTATGTGTGTCACATTTCATTCTTGTGCCAGTGTATACGGGTGACAAATAGACAACGATACTCCTCCCATCTGAAAAAGAATCGGTCTCCCAGGTATGTGCGAGTCGAGGAGTTGCAATCAAAAAGCAAAAGGGGCGCGCTGCTGATGGATGCTGCTCACCTTTGCTGGGCATGGGAAAAACGTTGGGCCATGCCATGCAGCTGATGAGGTACCGAATCATTTGTTTTGAGCTTCAAGGGATCGGATCACCAAGTGACATTTTGCAGTATCCGTACGGCTAATGACAGACAGGCTTCATGGTTTTGTTGGCACAACGCCAGCATTGTGGTATTCAGAGCTCGCAAAAAAACCAAGACCTAGACTCTAAATATCTCTAAATGAGATTGGGATCATTGGCGATCAGTCAAGTGCATTTCTTGAAGGTGGAGAGTAGTGTAAAGGAGGTTGCAGAAAGGGTGCAATGTGTGTTGCGGTGCGACTATTGGCCACATCTCTTGGAAAGGGGGGGTGAGTGGCGATGGAGAACCGTTTGATCTTTGGTTTCATCTCTGGCATACCAGCCTTGCAGAAGACAAAGGGCTTGGAGAGACTGTCATGGCATCAAGGGCATCCATGGCATCGGTGGACATCATTGATGTCACGTCTTTTTTGTGCTTTGCTCGACAGCTTGGCTCAAGTGGGTTGGTCGTGTGGGGAAAGGCTGGGAGCCCAAGAAAGTCTGTCAGGAAGTTCCGTCCAGAGCCACAAAGCTAAGTTTGTTGGCACGATTTTAGGAAATTGCTTTGATCAAACTTCATTAGCCTTCTCAGATGATCCCATCAATTTCCCTGCTAGAATGCTGTTTTGGGTGTTTGTTCCTCGATAAGAGAAGGGCAACTAGACGAGGTTAGGCCAAATTATCTCATTTCACCAGGCTTATTGGTGGTCGTCTTTCAAACCCTAATTTTTTTTTGGAATGGCTGTAAGCAGCCCAGTCCTGCAACGACCACGACTGGAGATAGGTGAGGATGCGGAGAATTGCATCGAGCATTTTCTGGCTTCCATTGTACCTATAACATACTATAACTTATTTAAATTGGTTAGAGGATTTGCCACCATCCCTGTAGGTGCGAGACCTACCATGAGCAAAGAGAAGGCGGGGATTTAAGTCTGTTAAGCTTGACAGCATGAAAAACCTTTCATTGCAGTCATAGCAATCCTAATACACACTCTGGTCCCAACCACCTGTTGCAAGCTCAAGCAACTATGACAAACATGGAAATCAAAGCAAGTACAAACTGTACAAACTGGGGTCACCACAAGCAAGCACTGAGAGCCCCCAAAGGTTGTTTTTACACCTTGAACCTCAACACACACACACACAGAGACAGACACACTTGCTTCCAGCTAATCGTGGGAAGCGAGCCCAGAAACCAACTCTAGGAGAGTCAAACCAATTGCCAGGGCCATCATGCTATCTCAAAAGCTTTTGTGACGACTCACGACTATGCAAAACGTAGAAAGCTAACGAGAGGCCGACGCGACCGTACTATTTGTACAACATCAAACGCATCCTGGGAACAATGTCCGTGTCCAACCAATGATGGCCAATACAAGCGGCTGCTGATGCCAAAAAAGAAGCGCCAAGGGACACTGGCAAGACTGGTGGAGGACTGGGCCCGGTGACTGTACAGGTTTGACCACCTACGATCAATCAAACACATCAGACACCTACTATCAATTATGTTATGTGGGTTGAAGGACGACTCCCATATGTTGGGCCTCCAACGAAAAGGATTTGTTAGCCCTCCGTTGGGCTTCGCACGCTCAATGCAGTCACATCCAAAGACACCCATATCACAATGGCAGCATCGTGCTGGGTGGACGTATGAGGTCATGGTCCTTGAGCAGTACGGACCTGTCATTCCCGATTGCCCGGTTTTGACAACCTCCACGTGACTCATAACTTTGAGGCTAAGAGCACCTGTCTCCAATCGGCAAGGACCAAGAAGAGAAGCAGCTGGCAAATCCGGTGCAGGTCACCTTCCTCAGCATCCCTGGATTTGAAGGCGTTCTTTGTGTCAGGCTG